GTCCAGGGCTGGTGAGTCCCTGCCAGTGGGGGAACCACAGCAGTGCCCCAAAGCCAGGGGAGAGTTTGCCAGAGCCTTCTGGGAGCAGAGTTGGGAGTGGGCTTTGTGAGGGGCTCCGTGGTTTACTGGTTTACATTGGAGTGGGGTCTGGTCATGAATCCTTCCCCTCCTGCACCTCCCAGTTGCTGGAGCAGGCCCTGGTGATCGAGGAGCAGCTGCGGAGGGCGGCGTACCTCAACATGACCCAAGACCCCAGCCACCCGGCCATGGCACTGAATGCACGGCTGGCAGAAGTGGAGTGCCTTGCCGAGAGCCACCAGCACCTCTCCAAAGAGTCCCTGGCTGGCAACAAACCTGCCAACGCCGTCCTGCATAAGGGTGCGTGTCCACAGGGTGGGGGGAGCCTGCCCCAGGGCTAGGAAGAGTTCCCCACCCTGACCCTGGGAACCCAGCCAGGAGGTTGTCATATTCCCTTGGCCAGGAGCTGCCTGCTCCTTCCAGCTCACTGGGTCCCATGGGCATCCCCCCTGAGCGCACCACCTGCTCTGCTCGCAGTGCTGAACCAGCTCGAGGAGCTGCTGAGTGACATGAAGGCTGATGTGACACGCCTGCCCTCCATGCTGTCCCGCATCCCGCCCGTGGCTGCCCGGCTGCAGATGTCGGAGCGGAGCATCCTCAGCCGCCTGGCCACCCGTGGAGGGGACCCGACTGTCCAGGTCAGCGGGGACAGGCACAGAGCCCTGTGGGGGTCACAGTAAAGGCCAGAGCTGCAGGCCCACGTTTTTTCTCCCTCCTTGCCTCCCCAGGGCTCCTTTGGCTCCTCCCAGATGTACAACAATAACTTTGGGCCAAATTTCCGTGGTCCCGGGCCAGGTGGAATTGTCAACTACAGCCAGATGCCTCTGGGACCCTACGTGACTGGTAGGTTGGGGTTTTGCTCTTGAGCAGAGGAATTCAGGGGGTGGATTTGGGCACTCCAGAAGTATTGCCAAAGGACAGCAGTGAGCACAGTGTCTCCTCTCTTGCCACAGATATTTAGCCGTTCCCATGATTTTCCCCTGCAGCTCCCATTCCTAGCTGAGGTAAGGCTGCGCTCACAGCTCTCCGTGCTCCATTTGCTGGGGAACACAGTGGGGCTGGGGGCTGTATGGGGGTTCCATTTTGGGCTGCCCCCCACTGCTGGTGTCTGGCTGCTGCCTCTGGCTGGAGCAGCTGCAGTGGAAGCGGGAGCAGATCCTTCCCGGTGACCTCGCCAGGTGCCTGAGGTTGGCAGGCAGGGAGGGTCCAGACCTGGCTGATGGGCAGCCCTCCCTTCTCGCAGCAGCCCCGGGGGACAGGCCTCAGCCCCCGGCCGTGAGCCACTGTTGCCAGAGGACAGTGGGGGAATCGTGCTGGCATTGCCTGTGTGGAAGATGAGCTGCCACCGGTGCTGCTGGGCTGTCCCGCTCCCGCTTCAAGTGTGCTTCACCCGCTGCGGCCTCCGCGGGAGCGGCAGGGCCGGGGGTTCGTGTCCGTGTACATTTTTTGCACTTTCTTCTTGAAGACTTGAAGAGTTTGTCTGGGCGAGGTGGGCTGAGGGGAGGGAGGGTGGAGTCGCGGTGTTTGTCCGGTTGTGTTGGCACATGTGGGACCTGCAAGGGCCATTTCTGCATCCTCGCTGCATTTGAGTGAGCCCACACCTCCTGCTGCCCCAGTGGGAGCCCTGGCACCGCTGTGGTGTGGCTGGGGGTCCGTGTGTGCTGGGCGTGGGGCAGACGGGTGGGATGGAGGGGATGGCCGGAGCTGGGACGGGGACACCTCGCGTGTGGTGACACCGGCAGCTGTCAGCAACAGCTGTAAGCCCCTGCATCTGCTTTGTGCTCCGTGTGTCCCGGTTTCTGTTCTCTGTGTTTTAATAAATCCTTTGGGAAGGATGCAGTGGAGTCTGGCAGGGGGGTGGCTGGGGCAGCCCTGGGGGGTGGCCTCGGGGGGGAGTCTGGCTGCAGTGGCAGTACCTGTGTCATCCTGCACACACATGTGTACACACCCCCACGTACATGTACACAAAACACACATGTGTGCACACCCACACACATGTACACCCACATGTGTACTCACCCACACATATACGCACACACATGTGCACACACGTGTACTCACCCACACATATACGCACACACATGTGCACACACGTGTACTCACC